CAACCAACAAATCAATAAATTTGTCAATCAATCATTCCATCAATCAATAATTACATGCACTAAGTGAGGCAGCCAATAAAATGACAGACATTCAATTGATCATTAATTGCTTAATATGTAACTGAAAGGCTGTGTAATTATGTAGTCTTCAGTTGTTTCATATAATGCTCCTATAATTTCATTCTTAGGCATGCTCCTGAATGATTTCTTAGCCTACAAGTATCCCAGTGTCTTAGTGGGGCTTAATGGCTCTTTTTATTTAAACTAATCAACTATTTCATCAGCAATATGACCTTAAACAACAATCACAATCGTGTAGCAATGTATCATCAATGTATCATTATATTATTATAAAAAACTGACACAGCTAAATGCTGCCATTACCTTTCAAAAGCCTTATGGGCAAAAGAATCCAAAGATGACTTTAGATGTCGATGAAAGCAAACAAGACTACATCTTTGAAGCACAATAATTGCTTTCTCCAATGATATTTCTGTCATCAAATCAAATAAAACCAGTGTCACTAGAATAATCTTTGCTTTGAAATTTTCTTTCATTTTACAAACCTTCCCTTTTCAAAGAAAGCATGGAAAGGGATGGTCCTTATAACAATACTTGATAGCTTTTAGAAACACTGGTTTAACTTGATTTGTGAAGATTTAAGACATTTAAATATCTTGTTTTGACATGTACAGACTTCAACTTATCAACTCTAAGTACAAAGCTGTACTTTTATTATAATTTTTGTTGGATTATGTTTGTGCTTCAAAGATCTAGTCAAGTTTCAATCGACTTCTGACCACTTGCATGTAACTCATTTTTAAGTTTTATATATTTTTGCACCACAACATTTCCATATTAGGGAAGTTGCTCAAATTATAATTGTACAAATTTGATTCATCTTCCCTCCTATAATGACAATTGGAAAAGCTATAAAAAGCTTACTGGGCTCTTGAAGATACATWATAAGGAAGAAATGTAGGGCAGGGAAAGGTTCCTGACATTGTTAGTGAGTGAAWTYMAMTYYCAGCATTCATCCTGCTTCAAAAATGACATTTACCACATTCTTGCACGAACAGACTTCTTTGTACAGTACATAGGATTCATACAATGTACTGTAGGCTGTTAGTTTTTTTAACAATGATATTGTTTCCACTGCATTTTATAACATTGCATGGAATTGTCTTACATTTTGTTGTATTTGGAATGTGCTGTTTAAAAAGTTTACAAGTCACGATAATCGCCACTTTGCTATTGCACAACTCAAATTGTAAACGTCGATCACTGTGACAATCGCTCTGCAAAAATCGCTGGTGTAAATGGGCCTTAACATTGCACTGCATATGAAAAATGGATGTAGTTTTATCACTACAGTATTCTTGATTTTTTTTCATTACGGTACCTGTGGAACTGGTTGTATTCCAAGGTCTTGTAGAAGAGTTGTTAACTGATGCTCAAGCTCAGGACTAATACCAACATCATATGGCTCTATCTGTTAAGAAAACAAAACCAAACTCTTATGAACATTAAAACTAACACCAATGGAGACTTCCAAGCTAACATAGCCTGTGTAAATCCATTCCCAACCCTCTCCCCATGGGGAAATATGTGACAAATGTTCCCTGTAGGGAGAGGGGTGAGAACGGATGTACACAAATTGTTATCTACAATATATAAATTTGTGCACCATTTTTTTACTCAGTCTTTGAAGTTTTCATTGTTAACTTACATCATCTGTTTTCTGTTTCTTTGCCTGTAGYTGACCAGGTTCAGCAGCCTCTATTGCACCAATGTGAAACAACTGACGAACCAAACTGAGAGAACAGCTTTGAGCTGCTTGTTTCTTGGTGGAAGCAGTACCAGTACCACGAATAGCTGTGGAGAACAAGCCATTATAACAATTAATACACAGGAAACCAAAGAACAATGATCATTATCACTGCCCATTGTTCTGTCTAGAAGACTAGTATGTATAACGAGGAAGAGTTAAACTGGGTCAGACAAAATTCATGTCAAAGAAATGGCCTTCTTACTTTTTCTGTGGCTTTTGATAAATACTGAGAGCTCTGCCTTGAATGATCTGTAATTGAATAAATGGATGCATAGATAGAGGCAGGAATTGATGGATAGAAGGAAGGAAGGAAGGAAGGAGAGAAGAAAGCAAGGAAGGGATGGACAGACGGAATATGAATGAAATGGTGAACAAAGGGATAAAGAGATATAATGATAGGGAACAAATTGGGACAGTTATTAAAGGAATAAGAATTAATGTGAATATGGGATGAAAGAGCAAGTGAAAAAATAAATGTAGCAGAGAGGGATGTATGGATCAAGGATGGATTAATGAGGGAGGGGAGTGTGGAATGAATATCCACCTGTTATGGTCTGGTCCCACTGTACTGTATTTAAACTCTGCTGGTAGCCTGTTCTGCTGCAGGTATTGATGTAGTCTAGACTTAGAATTGGCAAGTGTCCAGTTTCCATGGAGATGCGCATCCAAATCAATGTCTTCAGCCTAGGCTCAAACAAAAAACATTTGTTCATATGGTCTTAATTTATTTATTATAAAGTAATATTCTTGGAGGGAAAGTGTAGACCTGCAATAGACCTTTCTTGAAATACAAAATCATGGTGCATTGTGGTCTAGGGTCAATACAAATGCCATATTTGGCAGCATGAGCAAAAGATGTTTGTACCGAATCTAGACCACAATGCAATGCAAACTGCTATCTTAGAAAAGGCCTATATAGCACTGGGAGTTTGTAATGGTGTGACCTGTTTATAATTTACCCTGATACTAGTAGCACCTACCTCTACAAAGCTTCGTTTRTTGTACATGCTGTAGTGGTAATCTCTTTGAGCACCTCCCATATTATGTCCCCCACCAAAATTAGGACCTTTAGAATATCAGAAAGACTAGTTCATTCCATTGCAAGGACATTCATTTACAATGCAAAACTTTCATTTTTGTAAACAGTTAATTTTTTCATGTCAAAAAAGTAAAAACTTGTCAACAAGCATGACTTATGTTGTCTCAATGCTTTGACGGGTACAACCTTGAGCTTTGCTGGACATAACAGTTGTTTATGTCCACTTTTGATTATTATTTTTTGACTAGGTTTCTGGTATACTTTACCCTGGTTAAACAACGGTTGTGGAGGTTGTGACATGTTCTGTTGCATTCCTCCTTGTCCTGGATTGGTCGACATCAGAGACTGAGGAGCAGGGGCTACATTAGATGGCAGGGGTTGGGGTACTGGGGCTGCATCCTCCATATTCTGATCAGCCTAAATTACATACAAAGTAAACAAACATAGCTTATGTGACTACTGTCCCAGTATTGAAAGGGGGTACATGTCGATGTCAGAGTACAAACACTAAAACTGTGCAACATAAACACCACTAAATACCACTAAATTATGCTAATTTTATTGTTTTCTATTGTTTAATTAACACTATTTTGTAGTAAATAGTGGAAAGTGTTGCACACATTTAATGTTTGTACTCTRGTGCCTGTAATAGTAAATAAGTATTCTCATAAGCCAAGGTTTGACTCTACCAGTATTTCATCAGGAACTGAATCTGCAGGAATGAATCCAGCACCAATCAGAAATCCAACAAAGTCTTTAGCAGCATTGGTTTCAGCTTCTTTCTTGTTCGTTGCAGATCCAAATCCAGTGTAATCAAAACCATTCACTTGGACCTGGTTAATGAGAAATGATCATGTCATGAAGTGGGATTACCTTATTGAAGTCTTAATACAGTTTCATTCATAGATCATCAAAAATAAAAATAAACTTTAGTAAAATTCTGTATAGTACACGCGCAAACTACACTGTATCAGTCCACAAAACTACATTCAAAAATAGAGAATTCAAAGCGTTTACGATGGCAGATTTTTATAATCTTAGATCTTCCTAGTAAGCTTACCTGGAAACAAAACTTTCCACTCCTAGACGGCTTCTCTGTGTACACCGGTTGTGTCTTTTTCTTGCCACAAAAGGCATACAAGAAATTCTTCACCATGCCCGCCATCTTGAAAGCAGCTTACAACGGAGGAGAGAGAGGGAAGGGAGGGTGAGGTTGGGTAGCTCTTACACAGGAATCCCAAGCTTATGTATTTTTTGCAAGCACAGTTTTAACAAGTGATTGTTTGATGTCAAAGTACCCCTGAATATTTCATAAAGACGATGAATGTAAGATATAATTCAAACAATTCATATTTCAATGTCAATCTTACACAATTGCACACAAACCAATTCTAAGATTCTTAAAAGAATCTTGTATATTTTTTAATACTCACTTTGAAATAAAACATATTTTCTCGAGAACATAAAAATTCTGATCTTTAAAATATTAAAAAAGTGTCGTATCCAACAGCTTCACAAAAAATATCAATTGCTGGGAACCCTGTCCTTTTTCCGTATCACGTGCTACTATCAACCAATCACGTASTTGGAAACCACCTTTCTTTGGGCGGCTTCCAAAGCGTTCACTTGACCAAATTCGACGTGTTTCGGACACGAAGGTTCAATTTTGGCCAGTTTAACTGCATTTTGTACCTCGTAAAATGTCTACCGCGGTACAATCACGTGAAATACCAATTCTAGAGACAGTTGAAGATATCCAGCAGCGGCGTGAACAAGTTCTACAGCGATATGCGAACTTCAAAGATGCTGCAAGAYTGAGAAGAAAGCGCCTCGAGGACGCCAAGAGATACTTTCAATTCAAGAGAGATGCCGATGAAGTGGAGACTTGGATCAATGAAAAGCTTCAGATTGCTTGTGATGAGTCATGGAAGGATCCTACAAACTTGCAGGTAAGATTTCTAGCCCTACAAAGACTAACATTGCGTGAAAGAAAGCTCTGAGGTCGATCACAGCTGATTTGATTTTGCATGCATTATCGGGCAGCGCCTTGTCGACAATACAATGCCTACATTTTTCTTTGGATCTAAAATCTGTCTTGAATCAAAATTACGATTTTAATCTACCTTTCTTTTACTTTGGAGCAATGTTTTTATGTTTTGAGCTATCTTCTAAAGATAAATTCTWTGAATTTTTTGCATCAAGATGTCTTCAACGATTATTGATTTTGATTTTTCGATGTGCATATAAATTGTTTATGTTCTAAAGTTGCGATGTCGCACAYCAGCATCTAACTGGTTTAATATCTTAGCTGGAGGTGTTCATGTAACAATATACTAGTAGTCAATGGCTATATTATAAGTCCGTCTGAACTAGCGTCTGGCACCTTCTGCTCACAGTTTTGAATAATTTGCAAAGTCTTTGAGTTTTCTTTGTTGCCATGAATTTTTTAAGTAGGTTTAGATGTTCTACTATTATCAAGCCAAACCAGATTGGTGATTCTTGTCTAGGCAAGACACATCGATTATAAGTCAAACCAAATAGAGCTGAATAAATAAAACAACAATGAACTTGGTCAGATAACATGCAGTCACAGTCTTATTATTATACATAGTTATTGATAAATATTTATATTTTATTACTTTGATAGGATAAGCTCCAAAAACATCAAGCCTTTGAGGCTGAGATCTCAGCTCACAGCTATGCCATAACTGAACTCCAGGGGACTGGGGAAGAGATGATCAGTGAGTCCCACTATGCATCTGAACTTATCAGGGTATGTAATAAAGATTAAACTCTAAGTTCTCCCATTGTGTATATAGAATCTCAAAGGGAATTTGGTTTTGATCAATGTATGATTTAATTTTCAACTGAACTGAACTTTTCTGTACATACACGTAGACAAACTTATCAAAACTTGTCATGTTATATAGTTTGAATTGAAAAAAAWTTTCATTTTTGGACTAATTACACCATTTTCTGTTTATAMAGGAACGCCTTGACTCGCTGATAAAACTATGGGAGCTTCTATTGTGCAAGTCTGCAGAGAAGGGCCGCATGCTTCTMTTTGCACAGAAACGTGTGCACTACTTRCGAGAAGTTGAAGAAGTCATGACCTGGATCCATGAAAAAGTAGGTTTGAAAACATTTCAAAAATACCATKTGTCTGTCTTTGTATAATGGTAGATAATTTTTTTTGAAAACATGGACTCTGGTTATCTTTTTGTAATAAAGTTGCAAATATATACTAGAAACCCCCTAAAAAGTAGACTTTTGATTCACTATATACTATAGAAGCCAGACATTAGCTAAATTTTGTATWTTTCAATGTTTATAGGAAGCCATAGCAACTGTTGAAGAACTCGGCAGAGACTTAGAACATGTTGTTGTCCTGCAAAARAAGTTTGATGACTTCCTCAAAGACCTACAAGCCAATGARTCAAGGATTACKTACATCAATGACTTGGCTGATCAACTTGCTGAAGAAGGCCATCCTGACATTGAGCTAATAAGTCTCAAGCAAAGAGTAAGTTMTTGTAGTTTKTSTCTMAGTTTGTATAAATTATTGTTGATACAGTGTACAGTCCTTTCTGTCTTTAAGACCTAATATTACGTATGACCAATTATTAGATTTTGGCTCCCGAGGAATTACCGTAGAATGGGATTGCTTTTACAGCTGGCTCTTGTCCTACATGTAGATCCCTTGCATTTGATGTTAGTCCTGCTCTCTCTAGAGGAAAAAAAAACAAATGATTTTTGTTCTCTTAGGAGTTACTGTAGAATCCATTTTTTGTCCTCTGTATGAATTCCCATAATATGCACTTGTAACGTTTTAACAGCAATTTAATTCTTAAGAATTTAATTCTTAAAAGAGTCTGTTACAACAATAGGTGCTTGTATAAACAATGTTTGCTGTTTGTTTCAAYAGGAGGTTAATGAAGCTTGGGAACGACTAAAGAGGYTGTCACTYCTGAGAAAAGAAAAACTTGAGAGTGCTCATGAGATTCACAACTTCTATCGGTAACCAAGACTCAATATTTATAATTGTAGTATTAATATTAAGATTTGATATTAATACTTACAGCTGGAGTAGTGTTTCCAGAAATTTATTAAACCTTTTGTATCACGGAGCATTTTTTGTGGTCACTCCTAATGTAAGACAAAGAATCACTATGTTGATGTTTGTGTTTAGAAAGTAATTGTTTTTTACTAAAAGATCCACTGCAATTTAAATTCCTAGGATCATCCAAAAGTCTCCTAGTAATTCTCCTAAGTGATCCAATGCTCAACTATATATAAGTTCAATATTCTCTGGACTTTGTAATATTGTTAATTTTGTGTTTCTTAGTGATGCTGACGAGACAAAGAACTGGATCAATGAGAAAGACAAAGTGTTGTCTTCAGATGACTACGGCAAAGATCTTGCTAGTGTCAATGCTTTGTTAAGAAAACACGAGGCAATGGAGAGAGACCTGGCTGCTGTTGAAGACAAGGTAAATATAACACACATTGTATTCAAGTCATTTTGTAGGGATTATTATGCAATTATAATGATTGAGGGGTTGATGCTGTAGTGTGGTGATTGGACAGTGGATGGTTTTCTTAAAAAAATTATCAATATTTACTTACTATAAAGGTGACAGCGCTTGGACAAGAAGCTGGGCGTCTTCAAGAGATCCACCCAGAAAATGCTGAAGAGATTTCAGCAAAACAAGATGAGATTGTTTCTGCCTGGGGAAACCTGAAAGATAAAGTATGTAACTTATTGAAAATACCTTATTTTAAGCAAACCATATTGTTATTACATGTATCTTGAACTTGTGTCAATTTGAACACATTGTTTTGAACAGCAACAAAGAGCATGTACATTGTATGTTGACCTTAGCTTATTCTCTGTTTAGTCTGATGTACGAAAAGCAAGACTGGAGGATTCCTATCGGTTGCAGAGATTCATTGGTGATTTTAGGTACTAATGAACATTAATTCATTTGCAAATTTCTATTAATAGTCAAGTTAATGAATTACATCATACATGTAACTCTTATATAACAATAAAAATGAAAATTATGATGGTGGTGATAATAATAATTTTTAAGAATGATTATGATGATAATATTAAGTGATAATAATAATTTTTAATGATGATGATAATAATAATTATTTTTAATGATGATGATTATAATAACGAAAAGAATGATGTACTGATAGTATTTCGGTTGTTTTGTTCAGAGACCACATGTCATTCATCAGTGAAATGAAGGTGTTGATTCAGTCTGATGAGCTGGCAAAGGACGTCGCTGGAGCTGAGGCTCTGTTGGAACACCATCAAGAGCATAAGGTACAATAACAATCTTAGTTTGCAATTAAGAAGTGTGCTTCAGGGCCCTATTGATTAGAAAGCAGTGGCTGGTTGATGGTTATATCATTGATTATACAAGGATTTCATTTCAAGCCAGCAGCCAGCAAACTCCATCCATTTTGATCTTTAGAGCAGCTTTTTTGCCAAATTTACGTTGTAATACTGTAGTTGTGGCCCCTTATGATACACAGGGAGTTACCTTTTTTGAATTAGCCAATTTAATAATATAAATAACGTTTCATGATATGATAATATTTTGAATGTTTCACAGGGCTACATCGATGCTTCTGAGGATGGCTTCAAAAAGTTCAATGACGATGGACAAGAACTCATTGATGGCAATCACTATGCTAGTGAAGAGATCAAAGAGAAAGTAAGTACACTGAMCAACAAGTTTATTAGGCAGACAAACAGCAGTGTCAGTGATACAGAACTGACAACAGAGAAAAATATAGTAAGAGTTACCCAGTTTGCGAGGGTTGTCATGGACAGGGTTTCTTTATTCTTTAGTGGTTTATCAGTTTTCTTGCTTAATAAAGTGTACAGAGATGAGTAGAGATATAAAGCGCACACTGTCTTTTCCGTATCTAGTCATAGGCTTAAAACTAGGAAGGCTTTAAGGACTGCATAGGTCTAACTTGTTAAAAGCTCACTTAGAGCTCACCCTATCTGCTATTAAGTGGAAATACATAGGTTGCAGTGATTACCCAGGAAATTTAAATCTTTTAACAACTGCTTTTTATCTTTTATGTATTTACAGCTCACCACTGTTGAACAAGAAAAGTCCAACCTGCTTGAATTGTGGGAGGCCAGGAAAGTTGAGTTTGAACAGTGTTTGGAGTTCCAGATCTTTATGAGAGACTGTGAACATGCAGACATCATGATGACCAAGCAAGAGGTATAGTTATGGTTGTTTTTGGACTGTTATTATTGTCATCTTTGCAATTAAGCGTGGATTTCACTAGCGCATAAGCATAGCATAAGCACAAGCATGAGAATCATATGCGCCAGTGAGAACGGGCTCGATATAAGCATAAGACATTGAGCATGCGCACGAGCGTATTTTTTCGATACCAGGCTATGCTTATGCCTATGCAGTCCCGTTCTCACTGAGCATAAGCATGAGATAAGCACAAGAAGATCAAGACTTGCTCGTTTTTCTTGTGCTTATGCTTATTTTGAGCCCGTTCTCACTGTCGCATATGACTCTCGTGCTTCGTGCTTATGCCTATGCTTATGCGCTAGTGAAATCCACGCTTTACACCACGCCACACTATTGTTTTTGCCACTTCAATCAATATGTAATCTAATTCTATGTTTCTTTACAGGCATTCCTTGCTGATGACAATCTTGGAGATTCTCTGGACTCTGTAGAGGCTTTGATCAAGAAACATGAAGACTTTGAGAATTCATTTGCTGCCCAAGAAGAGAAGATCAAGGTAAATGATATTCCAATACAACTATGAAACTTGTTATGATATTATACTTCAAGTGAAGCAAAAATGACTGTAAAAATACTTACTCAAAACGTTTCTGCTACTCCTTGAAATCTTAAAAAAAAACATGAAATTGACGCTTTGTATTCAATTAGGCACTTAAAAAGCTCTTAAATATTTTAAATTAAAAAGAAAAGCAAAAATAGTAACTTCAGCAAATTATGAATATTTACAGACCATTGATGAATTTGCTGAGAGACTCATCGGTAGTGGCCACTATGCCAGCGATGCTGTCAGAGAAAGAAGAGATGCTCTCATGGCAAGACGTGCTAGCATCCAGGAAGTATCAGAAGCCAGGCGTTTAAAGCTTGAGGAATCCAGAAAGTTGCAGCAGTTTGAGAGAGATGCTGATGAAGTGAAGGTCTGGATCACTGAAAAATTGAAATCAGCCCAAGATGAGTCCTACAAGGTAATGATAATAATCAAAGTTGCAATGTTTTAATGTTAACAGTGAAAAAGTACACCGCTCAAGTGAGATTTTTGAGTTTTGAGTATGAGATTTTAGTGTAGATTTTTGTGAGCCAAGTTATATATATGACACTATTAATGTTTCAAACAAACAGATGGAGTTTTAGTAGACATACATTTATTGTCCCATGTATTTTGCCTATGATTGTAGCAGTAAACTAGTATAAGCTGCATCTGAAACTGAAACTGAAACTGAAACTGTTTTATTGCTCTTTTTTGCTTTTAACTTGACAGAAAAAAAGGTGCTTGTAATAAAGAAACAGTTCTGAAATAAGATAAATTTCAACACTGTAAAAATTAAGTAAAATAATTTACTGACGTTCGGATGTTAATCCTTCGTTGTATTAAAGTAAAAGGATTAATATCTGAAGAATCAGGAAGTTATTTCACCTTCATTTTACGGTACTAAAATTTATCTTATTTATCTTACAACTGTTTCTCTAAAAACACCACTAAAAACAATTTAGATGCAGAAACAAATGTCAATCAACTCCGCTATGATATATAAGGTATAATTTTCCTCAAACTTATGCATGACACAATCTTAGGATCCAACCAACCTTCAAGGAAAGACTCAGAAACATCAAGCATTTGAGGCTGAGCTGAATGCCAACAGAAACCGCYTGGATGCTGTTGATGCTACTGGCCACCAACTTATCTCTGAGGACCACTATGCCTCTGAATTGATCCAACAGAGACTTGATGAGCTTCATGAATTGTGGAGATATCTCTTTGAGTGTTCTGGCAGCAAAGGTGTGTACAACAGTTTCAACCATTTCATTTAATATTTGAGATTAAGTAAAAGAATATGAATGATTAAATTAATTTAATTCCTTTCCAAAAAACCCTGATTTTTGAGAAATCAGAATTGAAGGGGCGGATGCGAAAACGGCGTAAGTGACGATTTGAGCTAATTTTGAAAATTCGAAAAAATTGCTCAAAAATATCATAAATCAACTAACTTTAGTCTAAAAAAAAACGTTTCTGTGTTTTTTTCACTAATTTCGGCCAAAAAAGGCCAAAAATCGACCATAGTTACGCGGCGGCCTTGCTTGACAACCGATCATCGGTGCGTGAAGTCTATGAATCTTGCACAATGGAATGTACACTTCATGTGCGTGGCACCGTGAAGTGAAGTAAATTTGCATATGTAAACGTTAGGTTTCATGTGCGCTCAAGCAGAAATTGCACTCAGTCGTTTATTACCAAGAGCTCAATTATACTTCATTTAATTATTAGAAGAATTTCTTAAAGCTATCTTGATTTACGGAGCGACGTTTTTCATCTTTGTATGTGTGGTTTTTGATTTCCCGGCAGTTTTTCATGTTATTTCATTTTCTCCTGAAAATCTGCGCGTTGTTTTCTGCCAACACTTATAATGTTTTGATTTTGCAATCTGGTAAATAGCCAATAAACTAGAATTGTGACTGTTCAAACAAAAGGTATTACTGTCCATTTGCACGGTAAACTTTAATTTAAAATTATTGCAATTCATATTTTGGCGTTCTGCGCGGCGATTTCTCGAAAGCTGTATGTATATTAAGCGCATTTTGGTAATTTGACGACACAGTTTTCAAAAAGTTTTGTTTGTGCGATCTGAGAAATGTATTTCATTTAAGCTTCTTCTAAGCCTTCTAAAGCAAACTGATTTGAAATTGCCGCAATAAATCACAACTACGATGGAGCTTGAAAAAGAACTACTTTTAAGTCAAGTTGACAACGAACAGAATGAAGATTTTGGACCTTTGCGAGTTAAAATGACGTAAAAGAAAGGTTGAACGTGAGCCCAAATCCACGTTACAACTTATTGTTATATCCTCCAAGATACTTGCTTACACGAATATCGAGGAGGATAATAAATCAAAAGTGCATTCACAAATGTGGTATTAACTTAACATAGTACCTATATATCTATGCGCGGAATGAAATGGACTACACTTTGCCATTCCTCAAGCCTTACCGGCCAAAACTATCCGCGTAAATAGTTTACTAGAACACTTTAAAGTGTTTCAGCTTAAAGTGTTTAGTTAGAAGTTTTGTTATCGGCAGCGTGTGCTCTGACCGCCGTGCCGTTTTTACAGAAGTGAAATGATTGCTTTGCGTATGTATACATGAAAGGAAGACGAGATTGATTGAAACATTTGGCCGTATAACGTAAACAAACTTTTCGTAGCCTTTGTTGCGTGTTCATTTCTTTTGAACACGTTCCTGGAACCTGAAAATAGCAAGCAAATAACCAGGTAAGGCAACACTGCAGTTTATACCTGACCAATAATTATCATTAAAAAATGACTGCTATACTTATGCTTTTTAATTGCAGATATTGGAAAAAGATAAGATAAAAAAACTGACTTTACGAAATCATTGCTATGGACAATATAAATGGGCACAAAAATCAGGTTAGTTCAGTAATCCTTCAGTAATCCTGTAGTAAATTAACAGTGAATAAAACTTTGTCACGTAGATGGGGAACTGACTAACAGAATAATGCGCTTTTCCATGAAACGATCAAATGGTACTAAATCCCTCTTTACTCCGACGAGGAATTAACGTCCGAAACGTCAGTGAGTTATTTCACTTACTTTTTTACGGTGTTAAATTTATCTTTTTACACAACTGTTTCTTTAGAAACACCGACGCAGCTCACTCTAGTTAACCGCTAGTTTCCACCATTTTAATTATAGTTCTTTTATTTTCTAGGACTTTCTCAGATAGACTTAAATACTTTTAACAAAAGAAACATATATCATTGGTAATTCAATCGACAAATCATCGGAAGACTGTGTCATTTACTAAATCTCGAAAGGGACAAGCCGCGGGCGTTCGATTCACGCGTTTTCTTCTGATTGGCTTATCACACGCACGCGCTTGTCGAGACTATTGCCCGATTTCATACCCTTGATTCGCACGGTGGTGAGGTAAGACTGAAAGAACATATTGAGAAATACTAACTGTCCGAATTTGGCGTCGACCAGGTCAATATTAAACGATTTACAGCCTCTCAAAAACGCTAGAATTTCCGAAAAATGTATAGAATGCCGGACGCTGCAATTCTTTGTAAGGAACAGCGCAATAAGTCTATACAAGTCTTATCTCACCATTGTGCGAATTAAGGGGCTTGTGTATTGAGAAATGAAAAAATTTCCAAAATAATTCCGTTCGACAAGATTGTATATAAACTATATAGATCCTAGAGATCAAAAAGACTGACATTTTTTTCAGGAAAAAAAGATTGTTGAAGTTTAGTTTTTTGGATCACTCCGTCAGGCTGCCTGACATTTTCGTTACTCCGATGAAGGATTAAGGTCTTTCGATCGTAATAAATAGCGCTTCGCGCATATTTTTAAACTCCAACTACGTCGCAAGTTTCGATTCCATCAACAAGAATTATCGATAATCACTGTGACGTTTGTGAAAGTTTGAGTGCAATTGAATCGAAATTTGCGACGTTTAGCGACTCTACTCGACATTTTTTCGAAATTAATTCATCCGATGCGACCAAGATCAGTCATGAATATTTAACAATTAGACCTCGAGGTAGAGTGGACTACGAGCTAATAGCCCATGAGGCCGAGTCCGGGAGGCCGAATGGGCTATTAGCTCGTAGTCCACGAGGCCGAGAGGTCTAATTGTTTTAGTATAACATACTAATCGGTCAAATAATGAAAACAAGTTAAAATATCCTTAAAATAATTTATAATTTATAATTTGTTTATTTTGATTTTCCCTCGAGTGGTCTATCACAAATTAGACCATTAGTAGAGTAGCCAATCACAGTGCAGTATGAGTGATAGACCGTTAGTATGTTTATACTAAAATAGTTTAGTAGCCAATTAGAATGCTCAAACTGTGGTAGTTCAAGGTTTTGCTGAATTTCGAAAATGAGATTTGTTTTTCGCTTGCATTTGTTGGTATTGACTTTTATGTTTTTGGTGGCTCTTAAAAGAGCCGTTGTTTATGTTTCTTGACAGGTGCAGCTTTACCTATGGAGAAAAATACAAACCATGAATGCACATTTATAACGATTCGGATTGTTTTAATTAAATTTGTATTTTTTTTTTTTTTCAAAATTATATAAATCCTAGTTGCCATGGAAAATAATATTACTTACTCCCATTCTTCGTCATCTTCACTATCAGAAGCATCTTCCAAATCCCCAGTATTTAGATTCATGTAAAAATCCCTTTTTTCTGGTGGAAGATGCTTCTCGGCCATTTTCTTGAGGTCGGCCTCTTTGGCCTTCTTGATTTTCACTGGGCATTGGTAGAGTCGTCTTGGGTCCTCGGGTTCTTGTCCATTCCAAAGTTTAACTTTTTTCCACGATTCTTCTTTTGAATAGCCATAGCTAGAAAAGGAAATAAATTATGTTCAAGAAGTTGCTGTAATCCTTAACTTAGACGTTGAATATGACTCTAACACTTACCGCATCCACACTTCATCTGGATGATGGACCATGGTGATATTTCCATCTTTGTCGGTGTCTGCACCCCATCCGAAGTTCATCCAGTGGACCTAAACAAATTACAATAACCTGATTAATTACTGATAAATCTTTCTATTGTTTGATTGAGTTAAAACCGCAGAACTGCGACAAATTCTCGAATTTTAAAAAAGGCCGTAACTAATATACACAGCTCTATATTTCGTTCCCAGTTCGCTTTGTGTCAAAATCTGAAGAAATCACTACAAGATTATTCTGGAATATACTATGTATGGTCACTTAATGCACCAAATTGAATTAACGTTGTCAGCGGGCAAAGCTAACAATAATGCTTTTAATATTCGCTTTCCCATGCCCCCTTTCCCTCTTTGCGTCCATGATCAAAATTTTTGGAACCTGACTACGTTTTTCAATTCAGTGTATAGTATATGAGTAGTTATGTAAAATTTTCTATAGGGTATAGCTTACTTCTCTGAATTTGAAGTCTTGCTTGGTCGTTGTTTTTCTTTTGTGTTTGTAAACTTGTTTGTAAGAATTCTTGAACGAAAGAAATTGGTCTTGTTGCATACGCTGAACCTTAAAAGGTTTTCGACGGTTGGCCTCCTCCACTACTTTCGCCCAGTCTTCCGGCAAATGCACAACAGCACTACGTTTTCGTTTTTCAATTTGCGCAAAATCCGTGTCGTTGGGCAAAAAAGTGTGACCTCGCGTAAGAAATTTGTGATCAATGGTCGAATAAACGCCGTTCCGTATTAGCTCATTATAGAAGCCAATAATGGTGATGTTCTTATTCTGGCCACTACATCCGTCCGAATAGCTTATTAGTGACTTAGCTCCTGTTGAACAAAGAAAATATATCATTAATAATATAAAAAATACATTAATTACAGTATTGAAATAAAAATGATTAAATCGCTGCATATAAGTTCATGCAGCAGGACCATACGCACCGTGACTTACGCTAAACGTACTTTCTATAACCAAAAAAACATTCGAAATTTCTATATTGTGGCTGCATGCATTAACGTCTACAATCAGTTCCCCACTAACATGGATACCACTCTTATGATTAATCAACAAAAATTACCTGTTCTATTATTCTTGACGTAATGCCAAAGGCATGAAGAAACTTCTGATGATCCCCTGGCTGCCACTGTCTCGTCCCACATGTACATATGGCCCTGCTCTGTGACGCAGTCGTGTATGCCAAAGTTGTATGTCCAGAGCTGTCGTTGATAGAACATGTCATTGTGTGTGAGTGTGGGTGTCGGTAAATTCTGTTGGAAGTCGTAAGTGATCATGTCTACTGCGT